GGTTAAGAGTATAGATAGATATTGCTACAATTTTGGAAGTCCTTCATAACTGACAAGTTCTTTCTGAATATGTACCAACAGGCAAAGCAGGATACAGTGGAGAAGGTTTGTGAAATTGTTAAGAAGCAGCTTGCTGTTCCTGAAGGCACTGAAGTTTGCGGTACCACCAAGTTTTCTGACCTTGGAGCTGATTCACTGGACACGGTAACTATCCATGATGCCATGCATGTTTGTTTTGAGCCAAGCAGTACCTAACCTAACCTGGCCAAATAGCTCAAGGGTTCAAATGAGCTGTATTTTTTTAATGCCTTTTGGTGTTAGAGCATAATTGGAGGGAAGTTACAGCATGGCTCATTTGTTGGAGCAAATAATTACATGTTCCTGTCATGCAGGTCGAGATTGTGATGGGCCTTGAGGAGGAGTTCCAGATCAGCGTGGAGGAGACGAGCGCGCAGGCAATTGCGACAGTTGAAGATGCTGCCACGCTCATTGACAAGCTTGTCTCTGCGAAGTCATCTTGAAGGGAGGTCGTAAATCGTAATGATTGGAGCTCGTAAGCTAGTATTCTTACCTTGGGCTGATCCTTGTTGTTCTACCATAGTCGTTATTATATGGTGGGTTGGTGATTTTCTCTGGACTATTGTCTCCTGCTGTGTGTAATAAGATAATTGGTTAAGTATGTAAGCTGTTGAACATCTAAGTGCGTAGTTTTCGTGCGGCTGTGGTGCATGTTGATGTATGCATCTTTTTGTGTCCAAATGGAAGAATATGCGGGTACAAGGCAACTACATCTGCATGTGCTGTGAATCTGTGATGTGTCGTTCTGATTAGAGATCAGCAGAACAGATGTTCTCTTAGGGCTCGAGGGCAAGAGATTTTTCTTTTACCAATCTGTGAAGATTAGGGTGTATTTGTTCGATGGTTAATGCAGCAATTGATTGTTGGAGAGGGATGAGTAGATGTCAGTGATACCAACGCTAGATGATATCAACTTTGAAAAGGTTTTTGTAAATGATCGAGAAAACTATCTAGATTTTTTTCACATTATTGACACAAAATCAATCTTTTGTGTCTTGAAAGACATGAAATCAATCTATATATTAATCCTACTGTTTTTTGCCACAAAAGTTATTTCTTTCTTGAAAATGCCATGTGTTGCTGAAGAAATTGCCAACCCAATACAACTTAACTTGTCATCTGAAAAGTTTGTAATTGCCAACCTCTCCCAACGAAGTTGGTCGGCTATTGCGATCGTATATTAAATTTCACATCAAAATTATTACATCCAAACTATTAGCCCTGTACGTTCGGTTTATTCGGTTTACATGGTTCGGTTTATACGGTTTTTCGGTATGTACGGTATTAATACTTCGGTAAATACGGTATGAAATTAAAATACGGTTCGGTTTCGGTATATACCAAATTATTTCGGTATGGTTTCGGTATATACCATAAAAACCAAAGTTGACGCGAATTTGAAAATGACGTAATAATAATTTGCAAATTTATGACTCAAAACACATTCTATTTTACACAAATAGTATATGACTATATATATAAGTATATATGCATGCATTGATTCATCTGTTGATGGTTATGGACGTGCTTAGCATTTTAAAAACAGAAAAATGACAATGTTACAAGAAAAATGTTGGTGCTTAGTAGTGAATTTGACTCATGTACAAGAAAAATGACAACTTGTACGGTTGTTCATCTCAAGAAATATAAATTTATCTTTTACTTCGGTTTATTCGGTTAACCATTCGGTTTTTCGGTATATACCATAAAAACCAAAGTTCAAATCGGTATGAAAAGTTCATACCATACCGAAACCAGAAACCATAAAAACAAAAAAATCGGTTCGGTTCGGTTTATTTTCGGTATGGTTTTTCGGTTCGGTTTTAAAATGCACAGAGTGACAAACTATACATATAAAAAGACAAAATCTGTTGAAAGGGTATCCAAAACATAGAAAGAAGACACACTATTAACATGAAATTGTCATATTTGAGTATTTTCATGTACATCTTGGTTTTGGTTCAGTTATGATAAGGTTGCGCATCATGCATACTCTATGTATGTAATCTTTTTTTTTTGATAAATGATGGGTTTTATTAACTCAAAATGAAGCATCAAGTGGATACAAACACAATGAGCACACGTCCAACCTCTACATAACTGAGACAAACACAACCAACATCAAGTCACCAACACACGCCTAAGCGAAGAAAAGAACCCGATCAAACAATGATCGACAAAACGGACACGGCTCCTCTGACGTAGCCAACCCTGCCTTTCACTGCCTTTCGGTCGCTGACAGGTGGGCCCGTGCTTGGTGGGACCCACGTTATCTGATTGGTTCCACCTTATCACCTAGTTATATTTTCTAGAAATGTGTACGTTGCATTTTATAGTTAGCTAAAACTGTAGTTAGAGCCCTTCGACAAAAAAAAAAGAGATAGTAGATTGAAGGACAACGAGGGTAGAAATTGAGCGTCGGAGCCCACTTATCTATCTATCTCACTTTCCTAAGTTTTTTTCTCTGAATTTAATCTCCTTTCACATTTCTCCATGCCTTTTTTGATGTAGCGACTTTAATGTCAAGACTAGATGCGAACTGAGCTAGGCTCCGACGCTCAATTTCCTTGTGGTGGAATCTACCCATACAGGTTCAAATCCTAAACTTGATACAGATGGTCGTATTTTTCTGGATTTATTCTAGGCTTTCCGGCGCTGCTTTTTCAACAATAGGGCCGTCTGTCAACTACGAGTTGTTCGTGTCAACTTCGTCAATCTCAATAATATGTCGGCTCAATCTTTTGAATGTGCTTATAGTAATAACGTATCTGTGCACGTGCGCATGTCATAGAGATGAGTGTGTATGTATATTTGAGCTTCCGTGTCTATGTAGTGTTTCTCAAAAACAAATGTCAAGATCAGTCCTCGGGGCCTCTCTCTTACTTATACAAGCAAGACTAATCTTAAGAACAAAAAGCACCCCCATAGTGATAGTATGGGCCTCTCTCTTACTTATACAAGCAAGACTAATCTTAAGAACAAAAAACATAATGATAGTAGGTAGGAGGTGAACAACGGTTAAAACTTGGTTCATTGAGTAATGCTAGAGCCACGGGGATCAGTTTACGGCAGGGGGGGGGGGGGTATGTAACACCTCGAGAATCATGCTACAATAATACCCCCTAATGGTGGGCATGCCATCATGATTACTATGCACGTTGCCACTTAATAAAAATCAAAGTCTAGTTCAAATTTAAATTTCAAGTCAAAATAATATTTCTTTAAACGGTAAAACAAAAAAATGTTCGTTGGGTTGAAAATAATCACTGTATAATTTACATGTATAAACAAACATTATTTGAGTTGTTAAAATGCCCCTAAAGTATTTAAAACAGACCCAGCAGCACATGTTCAACACATTTAAATTCAAACCGAAAATCAAATAAATTGCGAATGCCCTCATTACTTTTTGTGCAACCCTAGAATATTTCATATCATTTTTGTGCAAAGTTTCATAATTAACAAAATTCATTTGATCAATAAACTATTTAGAAAAACAATAGCTAAATTGGAAAATAGAAAAAAGATAAAGAAATAGAAAAGAAAAGAAAAGGAGAAATCCCTCCTGTTCACTTAAGCCCAGTACTAACACTGTACAAGGCCCAGCCCAATTGGCCGGCCTTTTCCCCTACCTCTCGCAGGGGAGAGGCAGAGCCGTGCGTGCCGGCCATCCTTGGCGCCAGGGTCACGTGCCGGCCATCCGCACCCTTCCTCGGCCTACTAAGGTGTCCCCCAGAAACCCTACCTCGCCCTCATTCATTCCCCCCTCAATCCCCATCGCCCCCTCTCCTCTGGCTCGATTTTGAGCTCGCAGGCTCACGCGGTCACCGCTGCCTCGCCGTCATTGACGCGTCCACCGGCCTCTCTTGCGTCCGGGAGCACATCCTGGAGGTTCGCCGCGCTCTACCGCGTCCATTCAGGGCATTGGAACGAGGCGGGGAGCTACGTAGCCGACGCGGTCTTCGTCTTCTTCGTCCGGCAGTCGTCGTTTCGCCATCACCACCGCCTCTCCGTCCCACCCCGACCCTCCCGGGGCGTGCCAATGGATCCGTGGTGAGCTTCTCCTCCGGATCCCCCATTACTTTGCCTCGATTCGTCGCTGTTTTCCATCCCCAAGCACATCCAAGCTCACGCATACGCGTACGTACGTGTGTGTGTGCCGCCTGACGTCGCCCGCTACCGCTCCGCACCCCTGCTGTCCACCCGCGGCCCCGCGCGTTGCCTCGCCGCTGCGCTGTCACTGCAGTCGGCGGCGCCCCGCGCACAGCCCGCGCGCCTGCTACCTTTCGTGCCACTGGCCGCCTCCCGTTTCTGATGCGCGTGGCCGCCTGCGCTGTGTTCACATGCGCACTGTTGTTGCTGCTCTACTTTGCTAGTTGTCGCTGCTCTGCTTTGCAGCCGCGCTGCTGCTTGCCGCTGCTGCCGCTAGTGCAAGCTGCTGCTGCTGATGGCCGAGGCCGCCATGCACTCTCGCATGTGCGTGCCCAAGCACATTAGTAGCCGGCTTGGGCCATGGCCGCTGGGGCTAGTCTCTTGTTTAGATTAGAAAATGATTAGTAGTTAGGTTAGTCTATGCATTGTTGAGGAAATCGTTAACTGGTAGCTGCTCGGTTGGCTAGCGAGTATGGGATTAATCGGCTAATCGGCAAGTTAATCGGCCATTTAATCAATTAATCGAACGATTTTTCAGTTTATCGGCTACTCGGCGACCCTATGAATAGGGATTAATCGGCAAGTTAACTAGTTAATCGGATGAATTCTTGAACATGGAGTCTATGTATAGATGACATGTGGGCCTTCACTGTTGAAAGGATCGATATGGTTGACTAGAGGGGGGGGGGTTGAATAGGCAACTAACAATTTTTAGCTTATCTTTACCAAATTAAACTTTGCATCAAAGTAGGTTGTCTAGATTTGCAACTAGGTGAGCAACCTATATGATGCAACAACAACGAGCACACAAGCAAGCAAGAGAAGTAACACTAATAAGCTTGCACAAGTAAAGGTAGGAGATAACCAAGAGTGGACCCGATGAAGACGAGGATGTGTTACCGAAGTTCCTTCCTTTTGAGGGGAAGTACGTCTCTGTTAGAGCGGTGTGGAGGCACAATGCTCCCCAAGAAGCCACTAGGGCCACCGTATTCTCCTCACGCCCTCACACAATGTGAGATGCCGTGATTCCACTATTGGTGCCCTTGGAGGCGGCGACCGAACCTTTACAAAAAAGGTTGGGGCAATCTCCAAAACTTAATCGGAGGCTCCCAACAACACCATGAAGCTTCACCACTATGGACTGTGGCTCCGTGGTGACCTCAACCGTCTAGGGTGCTCAAACACCCAAGAGTAATAAGATCCGCTAGGGATTGGTGGGGGAATCAAATTTCTCTTGGTGGAAGTGTAGATTGGAGCCTTCTCAACCAATCCCGAGCAAATCAACAAGTTT